ACACACACACACACACACACACACACACACACACACACACACACAACTCCCCTGTGGCCACTGAGGTGGAAACAGCATGGGTGATGAAATGAAATCATTTCTCTTTTTTCTTGTCCCCGCGTCTCGCTGCCGCCGTCACACTCCTTCCCTTGATTCTTTCCATTTCATCCCCCGTCTCTTTTGACTGTTCCCCATGATGTGGCGCCTGATCTCTTAGGCCCGAAATATCACAAGCACCATCAAACCCATCTGTTCAGTAAAAGGCAGCCGCATACGACAAATTACATGGTACACTTCAACAGCAGAGTACAAGAGACACTGCATTAAAAAAAGAGGAGGGGTCTGATTCTAAAGCAAGAGGCCGCGCAATAGATACATAGATAACTGACCAAATATGATAAGTCACTGCTAAATCACCATCGGGCGGCTCCAAGTTTGAACACGCTGAAGGATAAATGAATAAATAATTCTAATGTAGAAAGACTGAAAGAAGGACGGACGATCAAAAGCACTGGATATGTTGAATTACTGTCGGTTTTTTCAGCCATTAGATTAATTCTGCATCATTACTTGGCCAAAAATAAAACCACCCAAATTTCCGGGAAGTAGATAATAAAAAGGATCCTCTTAAAGACACTTAATGGCTCTTCAGTCAATGTCACAGAAACAAATCATTAAAAAAAGGGAAAAATCTCAACCAATTTTTTATCCAGACAACTTCAAAAGAACCCTGTTTATGAATTAATTGGGAGGATTTTTCTCTGTCTGGGATGCTTTTGAATGGAAAATAAATACTTGTGATATCCAGCCTTTGAGTGCAGTTTTAATATGTGCTCCGACTGTTTTTGGGGGGATAATTTAACTACGCGCCTAATTGTGGTGGGCTCCCTAAAATAGCTGTTTATTGACTGCACAGTAATTCATCCAGTTGCCATATTGAGCAGGTACGAGTGAGATATTCACACGGGATATTGGGTTTTTGGAAAAGGTCACGAGAAGCATTCAAACTGCAGTTTGCATAAGAAACCGGCTGACTGGTCTACCTGAGAGAGCTGATGCACGCTGATGACTCACAAACTAAGAGATAAGAGAGGAGATGCTTCGTTTGCATGCAAAACCTCGTAGTTCGACTGGCCGCCTGTTTACTTGTTGCCATAGTGACTGACATATTTCAGTGGCTTTAAGCAGCTTCCCCCCCAAAGGCCAGTACTTAAGCCTGAGGATATCTGCCATTTAAGAATCTTAATAAAGCTTTCTCTTTAACCAATAATAGACTCGCACTGCCAACATCAAATGAATGACATATTGCAAGGGCACATGTGGTACATCCCTAAAATGAAGTCTAGAAGGTCAAGCTGATATGAATCCATTGTTCTCTGTCTAGAAGGGGGCATGTATAAATGTCAACATGCATCAGTGTGCCTATAACAAATGTCAGTATGCCCAAATCCCTTTCCCATGACCACCTCTATTGTTGTGTAATACTCACCGCTCTTCCCTTTGTCTCCTTTGTCTTTCACAGGTAGGAATGGACTGGGCTTTGGACTCTGGAAACTGACGGCCACTGAGGACCTTCATCTATAAGGACAAAAACGGACCTTTTCCTGGATGCTAATTAAAGTCTTTAATAGGAGGCTTCTTAGGTGTGAAACTGGTACATGCTTCCCCTCCCCCAGCGTCTTTTTGGGTCTGCATCCTTGGCCCCAAACGCTCAAACGGGTGGGAAGTATTGAGTGATTGGTCATTACATTCAAGGGCGCCCACATAGTGAGACAAATAAACCCAAGGGAGCCCAGTGGTGGTGGAGGAGGGTGTGGTAGAGGAAGTAGTGAGTCAGTCGCCTCTGCAGCTGCAGCAAATGATTCATCATTTGTGAAGATACAGCTCAGATCTCTGCATCTCCAGAGGACTTAAAAAAAGAAAAAAGAAGAAAAACTCATTGGAGGGAATCAATCCAATATGAAGGACGCGTCATTTGTGGATTGTCTCTTTGTGGGCCTCATGGCCTCTTTTGTTGTGGCCACTGAGGTGAGGCCTGACTGCCCAAAGCTCTGCATATGTGAAATCAGACCCTGGTTTTCTCCCAATTCAGTGTACATGGAGGTCCAGACGGTCGACTGTAATGATTTGGGACTGTTCAGCCTTCCAGAAAGATTACCATTGGGCACACAAGTGCTATTACTTCAAACAAACAATGTTGCCAAGATTGACAAACCTTTGGATTACCTGGCCAATATCACAGAAATAGATATTTCGCAAAACAACTTGTCATCCATCAGCGACATCCATCTGGGCAATCTTTCTCAGCTGGTATCCCTTCATATGGAGGAGAACTGGATGCGCGAGCTGCCTGAAAGGTGTCTGTCGGACGTGCCCAACCTCCAGGAGCTCTACATGAATCACAACCTCATCTCGTTCATTTCCTCACAGGCTTTCCACGGCCTGAGCAACCTGGTGCGGCTCCACCTCAACTCCAACAAGCTGACGGTTATCAAGAGAGAGTGGTTTGAACCCATGCCAAACCTGGAGATCCTCATGATTGGCGAAAATCCAGTTCTGTCCATCGATAACATGAACTTTAAGCCTCTCAGAAACCTCCGCAGTCTTGTTCTGACCAGAATGAACCTGTCTCAACTGCCGGATAACGCGCTGGCTGGCCTCGACAACTTGGAGAGCATCTCTTTTTATGATAATATTTTCTCTGAGGTGCCTCATGCCGCCCTAAGAATTTCTAAAAGTCTTAAGTTTTTGGATCTTAACAAAAACCCGATTTCCAGGATACAGAGAGGGGACTTTGTGGATATGCTTCACCTGAAGGAACTGGGAATAAATAGCATGCCAGAACTAGTGTCCATTGACAGCTTTGCCCTCAACAATCTTCCCGAGCTGACCAAAATTGAAGCTACCAACAATCCTAAACTCTCCTACATCCACCCTAATGCGTTTTACAAGCTCCCCCGGTTGGAGACCCTCATGCTGAACGGCAACGCTCTGAGCGCCCTCCATAGGATTACCGTGGAATCTCTGCCGAATCTCAGAGAGGTCAGCATGCACAGCAACCCCATCCGCTGCGACTGCGTCGTTCGCTGGATGAACATGAACAAAACCAACATTCGCTTCATGGAGCCCGATTCGCTGTACTGCGTAGAGCCCCCGGAGTACGAGGGCCAGCACGTCCGGCAGGTGCACTTCAGGGAGATGATGGAGATTTGTCTGCCTCTGATATCACCGGAAAGCATGCCTAACCACATTAAAGCGCAGAACGGGAGCTCTGTTTCACTGCACTGTCGGGCCTTTGCCGAACCGGAGCCCGACATCTACTGGATCACCCCGTCTGGCACCAGGGTCTTGCCCAACACGGTGTCCGACAAGTTCTACATGCACCCAGAGGGAACCTTCGACATCTACGACATCACGGAAAAGGAAGCTGGCGTCTACACGTGCGTGGCCCATAACCTGGTTGGAGCGGATCTTAAAACAGTCTCAGTGGAGGTGGACGGATATTTTCCCCAGCCGACGAATAAGTCTCTGAGAGTTACAGTCAAATCGGTGGAGACGAATTCCATTCTGGTCTCCTGGAAGGCGGGCCCCGGCACCCTGGCGCCAAACATTAAATGGTACACCGTATCAGACGCCAACCATCCCACCACAGCATCAACCACCAGGTTCCCCTCAGACGTCCGGGTTTACAACCTCACCCATCTCAGCCCCGCCACTCAGTACAAAATATGTGTGGATATCCGCAGCATCCACTACAACCATGACACCAAATGCGTCAATGTCACCACTAAGGGATTAGAGCTGGCAGCCAAGGACGCAGAAAAATGGGATGCAGCAGTAATAACTGCCTTCGGAGTGCTCTTGGCTGTGATTTCAGTGGCCTGTCTGTTTACTTATGCGTCTCTGAGGAACCACCACACTTTTGGGGATATAAGGAAATGCGACTCCAAGGCTTTGCTGACACCAGTGGAAGCCGCTGGCGTGCACGCTTCTCTCTTCACCAAGCTGTGGGTTTCGGGTAAGGGACTGCCGAACGGAGTGGAAGTCAAAGCCACAGTCATAAACGTATCTGACAATGCTTTTTAAGATGCTCCGCTGTGTAGAGCACCTCACGCCAACTACAGCTAAGGGACAAGGCCGCAGGCGAGGGGTGAACCATGTACTGTTTTCAAAGGCTCGCCAATTGCTGATCCCCAGCTCAGATAAACTGGCACATCTGTTTTCAGACGGGGATGGAACACTTTGAACTGGATTACATGCCATCCCGTTGGAAGTGGTGGCTCTGTAACATCACACCAAGCCAACATCAACAGGAAGGGGCGTTTACTGCAAAAAGACACAACACAGTACCAATCATCCAGAAAGGCTGGCAGAGAAATGGAAGCGAAGACGGTGATGGTGGTCAACTCTCTTGTAATTGACTGTTAAATGTGTTCAGAGTTGTGGAACTGTCCGTGTGGTCCCAAGCAATACCGTCTGTGCTTTGTCAAACATCCATAGACGAGTTAGAGAATCAGTAATAACACCTGTCTATTATGGGAAGGGAGATTTAGTAGAGTAGACAAATAACAGTGACTATGGTGTAAGCCTTTTGATGAACTATACCCCCCTTTTTTTCTATTTAAAAATGGACTCTTAATTTTTCTTGGAAATATTGTTATATATTCTATTATGTTGATGTAATGACAAATCCTCTGTGTGTGAACAGTTTAAATGGGTTTTAAATTACAGCAAGGAGCAGGCTACTTTTGATTACAGCATCACATTAAGCTTAATGAAATTCAGCAACAAAATGGGTATCTAGAGAGGAAATTTGCTAAATGGCTGTTTATGCTTTGTAGTTCTCACTAGGAAAAATGCAGATACATTTGACTAAAACTAATATAAGAGGCTGATTAAGACGGAGGTGAGTGATGTATTGTCTCTTCAAGAAATGGTTTGTTATACCCTGGTAAGTGCCTACAACAAGAACTACGAGAAGTGAGGAGAAAAGGAACTGAGGAAATTTGTCAGCCACAGCAAAACAGTCACGATACTGCAAATACACACAAGCTATAATCCAATACGTTAAGTGAAAATAATTTCTCAGTATTTTTGGCATACCTATTTTAAGAAAACATTTTGTTATTGCTTTGAGTGTGAAGTTAAAAAGCCATTTTTATATTAACTGTACTATATGTGATCAGTGGGCACAACAGACTAATTAAGAAAAGCGCTAAGAAAAAAATAAATGTCATTGTTTCTTTTACAAGCAGTCGTCTAGTTCATTTTGTTTTCTGCTCTTTGATCCTAATAGCATTAGCAAACACCTTTAAGCCATTGCTTTGTGACTCAAGGGCCTAAAACTGACAGGTTGCTTATGAAAAAATTATGCTGGTTGTTGGTTTCTGAATCATTCCCATTAATTTCACATCATATAACAACCCAGACGTTGTGTTTTTACCAGAGTATTGATAATTACCGAGTAGCACAGAGCAGGAAACTCTCTTGAGTCAGACTACCGGAGGAAAAATCTGGAGACTTCTGCCGAAGACTCGTCCTGACCCTTAAAGAAGAGGAGGAAAAAAAACAGCAACAGAAGAACAGAACTCATTAGCCGCCTCATTAAGAACATGTTCGTCCTTCAGCCGCTCTGAATAAAGTGGCTGCGCTGCGGCTCCAGCTGCTGCTGCTCGCACTTAGACGGGGACACGGCGTCCCTTTGACACGGAGATAAAGTACAGGACGGGAAAGTCACGCCGAGCGGGATGGAGCCCAGTCCCGGCTCCAGGACTCACATTTTATTTGTCTTACTGAATTATCCAGCACACTGAGCATTTCACATGAGAAAGCCGAGCATGATGAATGGCTGTCAGAGGCAGAGTGACATGGCGGATTTATCAAACGGAGCCGAACGCTCATACATCAGGCCCAGCCTTCAGCACCACGGACAGAGGCTTTTAAAGCCCAGCCATTCGTCAAAGACAAAGAGAGTTAAAATATGACACGCCGAGCTCCTTAGGTAACGCTTAGGTTGGACCGGGTCTGCATCTTTTGCAAGAGCAGCTGCAAATATATATCCACAAACCGGCCTGGCGAAGCTAAAATCCAGGTTTTTAACGGAGAAAACGTGTTGCATCTCTCGGCGACAGTGACGATTCAAAGAAAACAGCCACATAAGAATCAACCCACCTTCTGTTATCAGAGGTGTTGAAGTGTCAGTGGCTCTAAGCGAATCGTCAAAAAGACCCAAACATGGCAGCCAGAACGGAGTCTAAATGAGTTCACAGGCCTTGCGTGTTGTTGAGCCCAGAGCTGCTCATCGGTATCAGCCACAACGCCCTCGTTTCATCATTTTTTCCCCCCACAAGTCATGATTTGATTACATACATGACTGGATCAGCTGAATGTTATCCTGATTGTCATTCTCCTGCCGTCTGTCCCGATCCCACACGTTTCCACCACCTCGGCTTCTCTTTACAGGCGGCCGTTTACCCGCCGCCTCCATCCACAGCCACCGCAATTTTCCGAAAAATCAATAGGCTTATTCTGCCTGCATTTGTAAATTCAAAGCACCTATATAAGGGAAAAAACAACCCTCTGGGTTTATTTAACTGAAATCCCATATGAAAAGAGCCAGTGAGCTGTCACCATTTAATCCGGAGCGAGGAAGGAGAAATAATGTTTCTCGCTGAATCCTCAAATATTTCAAATATTAAAAGCACCTTGTTCTATTCAGAAAATCCATCTGCACTGTGACAGATATTAAACCATTCTTTGTAAAGGCTTATAGATGAGGGCTGCTGCCGGTTATGTGTTAATTTTAATTTTCTGAGGATCACTGTCGGGCGGCCTGAGATTTCATGGTGAAGCTTTCTGTGTGTCCAAATGTGGAGTTCTTTTATTTTCACCTTGAGACAATCAATAGGTCAGCAACTAGCAAGTCATCTTCCTATAATTAACTCATTCAAATCTGAAAGCCAATTTAAATTTGATAAATTAGTCAATTTATTCAGATCTGCTCTTTAGTCATTATGCATACAGGCTCCAATTTCCTGTAGAAAAAGTGTGTATGATTAAACACTTTCTGTGTTATAGCTTTCCAAAAAGCTCATATTCAGACCAGATTGAATAATAATCTCTTTTTTGAAGACAAAAATATTGAATTTCCCTTCTATCCCAAATAGGATCAAATGAAAGCTCCGGCTTCTTGCGGGCTGCAGAAAGTCTGCTGCAGGCACTTTTATATGTTTGAATTATCACGTTATTAAAGTTACAAACCTCCACATAAGCAGGCCAGTGCACCTACAGGCAGCCACATTCCACCGAGAAGTGAAAATGTCAACATGCATTTACAATCCTGCTGCTTACGCCGTATTTAATGCCGGCGCTTGCTTTTGAGGGGCTTTTAAAGGCAGGAACGAGCGGATGACCTATGGAGAGCAATGACAAAGCTCTGATTGCTTTCAGGAAAATGAATTTGACTTTGGAGTCATGTGAAGTAGTTCTTTGTTATCATGGTGACCTTTTATTAATTAAAACAACAGTTTTGCTGCTGCAGTGTAATTTGTTTTGTGTCTCTGTCTTTTCAGTGTGTTTAGACTCAAAGTGATATAAAGACCACTGAAAGATAAACGTTTTATTCTATCACTAGTGCCCTTTATTCCAGGTTGCTGGATGGGAAATGGGGGCAGAGAGGGAGCGGCCTGAACAGGGAAATGGAGCTTTGGCTGTGGTTTTTCTGAAGAAACTGAGATAGTATATTGCAGTAAATCTAGTCCGACCCGTCCCGGCACAAGCAGTCAAAAGCAATTTCCAGCGTTTGTGTGTGCGTTTGCATTTATTTCTGCTCTGTCACAGCTCTTCCTGTTTGCTTTTCCATTTCCGTCCCCTCTGAAAGGGAGGCCATTTATTTCCAGGCATTGCAATTAAAGTTAAGGTACATCAGCATGCAAACACACATCTGCAAACACGCAACCTTAAGATGGCGGGGGGGAAAAAACTCATTTTAAAGTAACTGAATGTGTGGTACAGATTAGAGGATTCCTCAGGTTTTCGCCCAAAATCTGATGATTTATGAACTTTGTATGCTAACTCTTGTAAATCACTTCGTAATTATTTGCAAGATCCCCTAAAAAAAACAAAAGCATCACAATGTGAAATTTATAAAGATCAAATTGAATTAATTCAATTAAAAATGTATTTGATTTGGGGATGTTTAGGAGGCAACCAGCTGCAGTAAAGAGGATTGATAAAACAAAAAATCAAAATTCAACACGTCAGGAGGAAGATTAAAACTTAACAGAAACCAGGAAGGCAGCACAAGTTGCTCCTTTATTAAAGATTCCCCGAACAGCCCTCTGAATACACATTTCTGTTCAAACACATGAAGTTAAAGAAAAACAACAAAAGCAAACAAATCCAACACAAAGTAATGAATAACATTTGAAATATATTTGCCCGTATTAGGCAGTATATCTGTTTATATATGACTAATGCTTGACAGTTAAACTTATTGAAGGGGTTTAAATTATATTAAACCACACATGTCAAAATGAATTTGTTCGGCTAAACTGCTTCCGATTAAAAACCCACAAAAATGTGTCTTTTAAAAGAATAATGACTCGGAGGGGGAAACTGAAGGCTTTTTTTCTGGCTGATAAATACACAATCTCAGGTTTTGCCGAGGCTGCTGTAAAAAACATCAACCCTGGATTGAATGTTGGAATGATATGACTCCACAGAGAGCTTTTCCACTAATTGGAAGACTCGTTTGAAGCAGATGATTGGTTTCCCGGGCTGCTGATTGATTACCGCCTCCCTTTGTCTCGCTGCAGTTTCCTGTATGAAGCCGTCTGTGCCGGAGCCGGATCGATGCGGAAACTAATGACTTATTCCCATGCATGTGCTCGCATTAATGATGGATAGGCTGAGGATGGGAAGGGGAGAAAGAATGGAGCACGCTCATAACAAGCACACCGGTTAGGACATGGGGGAACATCCTTTTTTTTCCTTAGGTGGGTTTTTGCAAAGACTGGTGTTCCTCTGGGCATGTGCCATGGCTCCCGTCAGATTCATTAGCACTACAGAGGCCATCGACACACACA